ATTATCACCTAGATAAAATGTGTTTCACCTGTCTGAGTTACAGCATGTTCCACTTGTAAATTACTTGTGCATAGGTATGTACCTCTGTAACTAATTGACATAACATATTGTCTTATTTGGCGAGAAGTGGAGATACTATACAGTAGGTATACACCCTACCCAGATAACACAATGATGTCCAATGAATATCCAATGGACCTCCATCTCTGGACACCATGGACATCCACTGGCTGTACACCACTCTTCAATGTATTTCCAATGGATATCCATTGGATGACAAATGTCTGAATTTTTGGACATCCGCTGGATGTCCAATGCATGACCTCCAGTCATCCATTGGATTGCAAATGGACATGACATAATGATGTCCAATTAACATCCAATGGACCTCCATCTCTGGACACCATGGACGTACATCATGCTGCAATATATTTCCAATGGATGTCCATTGGATGACATGTCCGAATTTCTGGACATATACCGGATGTCCAATGTATGACTTCAAGTCATCCATTGGATTGCGAATGGAGATCCATAACATGTCCGTTGGACTACCTCGTTTGGAAAACATGGACATCCATTGGATGCATATCATTGTCTGGTGTACGTCCAATGGATGTCCATAATGACTGCCCAATGTGAATTCATGGACATATATTGGACACCCATTATGTCCTCTACTAATCCAATGGATTTGGATTCGTGGATCAATTGAAATATCCAAAATCCATTGGATATGTAGGAATTTATTTTAAGGAAGGTGGGATGAACAAATAATATACATCAGCTATGACCAAGATAAGGTTCCGCAAAGCATATCAAGAATGGTATAGGAGATACAAATTCGGTTAAATGAAAATTGCGCCTTCAAATGGTCTTTCCGATAGCCTTATCTTCGTCACACTATAGAATTGAGTGCATTTTTTAATATTTATTGAAAAAAAAAAACATAATAAATAAAACATAACACAAAAACCATATATTATAGTTCATTCTAACAGGAACGTTAATGTTTTCGATAACTATTTTTCATTTTGAAAAATTTTGAGTACAAATATTTCAAACACATTCTGGAAAATAATAGAAAATATCAACTTTCAAACTGCATTTTCTAAATTTAAAATTAAATGAAACTAATCATTCAAAGTGCATTAAGAACCATATTTTACTTCAATTTGATTGTAGGAACATAATTCAAATGTGTAACATAATTTGAATGTAGGAACATAATTTAAATGTAGGAACATATATTAAATGTAGGAACATAATATGAATACTTTGATCAATGAGAAAAAAAAATTCTCACATTTTCAAAAATATGTTAACAACAGCATCATCATCATTCATGTTACATTAAAATATAGAGTATCTCTATACGGAAACAGAAATGGTTTGTCTAATAAAATAAATATGTAGGAACATAATTCAAATGTAGGAACATAATTCAAATATAGAAACATATCATAAATACTATGATCAATAAAAAAACTATAATTTCTCACGCTTTTTTGAATATTTTTAGGGAACAACAGGATCTGCAACATTTATGTTGCATCAAAATAAAGGGCATCTCTATAACACAACAGAAATAGTTTGTCTGATAGAATAACTATGTCTTGCAATTTCAGAAATAACGAAAAAAATATTTCAGATTTAAACAGGTTGCGATCCTTTGCTCTCATATGCATGTCGTTCCTTTGCCCTCCTTAGAAATTTTCTTATAGCATCTTCCACGGATTTCTTATCAGTGAATATTGACGTTTTTTCAGATGCTTCTGAAAATATCATGTATATATTGTACTACAGTGTGTCTCCCTTTGAACGGTCCTCCCACGCTATATCTCAGCTATTACGTCATTTGGACTGGTATGAATAACTATCAATATGATTAGTTTTTCAGAGACGAACATTCTTATGGATAGTGTCCTGCGGTTTCATTGAAATGAAGAGGGGCCAATTCTTTATAAAATCATATTAGGATTTTCATCACAGGAGAACTAACTTCATACTATTGTTCTTCATGCTTTCGAACCTTTGAATGCAAAAAATCACCTCAATCTGAATCAACAGGATTGGCTTAATTTTTTCATTTGCTGCTTCGAAAAAATAGTGAATTCATATTTATTGCAAATTTTGAGAAGTTCAATAGCTCTGGTACATATGTAGGCAAGTATGGTTTGAAAGAGAAAATTAGATATACTTTTTTTGTTGAACTCACCGTTCCCCAGTAAATTATTATTTACCCCCGCAAAATTGCTGTTTAAATGTGCCAGTTTTTTCAAGACCCTTACTGTGAAAATTCCTAATATGATTTCATAACAAAAATTACCCACTTATTTTCAGTTCAATGAACAATCACAACACACCAAAAATATGTTCGTCTCTGAAAAATTGATTATATTGATGGTTATCTATACTGGTCCAAATTTGGTATGACTAAAAGCTGAGATATAGAGGGAAGGCCGTTTGAAGTGAGACACGCTGTATATACAGAGTGGTTCAAAAATGTGTATGGAGCTTTCTGGAGGTAAAAGTACATTGAAAAATACGTGTAAAGTTTCATTAAGGAAGGTAGATATATCGTTCCACAGTTAATCAAATTATAGCTATTTATTATACAAGGGAAAAAAGTAGTAGACTTCAGCTCAGTGAGCTAAAATCTGATATTTTTCCCGTGTATAATACACAATTCCCGTGGGAAAAAATTAATTTATGAAAAGTGAAATTTAATAACCTGATCAATCAAGTGAAGAAACTTAAATTTCTTGTAAATCCTTGATTATCTAATACACCTAAATTGATAATACAAAATAAACAATACTGAAACTTGGACTTACTTATTATAACTTGACCAAACTTTGTGGTGATCAGGCCACTTTTGTCTTTTGTGCCATACCATGTATATTTCATCAAAAGTGAATTTTTCATCACCCAACTGAGTGATCTTTTGACGAAATCATAGATATCAGCGCCACCCAATCTTGCGATCTCAATCACCTGCAAAAAATCATAATCAACAATGAAATAAGATTTCGAGAATATCAATCAATGGCCAATAATAACAGTGAATTAGCATTTTTGAATTGTAAGAATAGAAAAAAACTTACTGTTGAATTGAATTGTTTTTCATCGGTGAGATATTCTTCCAGTTTCACAAATTCTTCCACACTGGATAGTGGAAAATTGAAATTAGAATTTATTGAAGAATCTGGTTGGATGTCTTCCTTATTGATTTTTTTCATCTGGCCTGATAATTTCTTCATCTCATCAATATTTTCGGTTATGACTGACATTATCATATTGTGTTTCTTTGATATATTTTTGATTTCAGTGGTCAGATTCATGAGAGTCATTTGCAATTCTAAAAAAAATGGATGTAGGAAACAAAAAGTGGCGTTTTGAATTGTCTAATCTAAGAAAGTATTTCAATCAACAAATATGTGACATAATAATGATACACCCTGAATACTGAAATTAAAATGAATGAATGAAGTGCAGGACCACAGAAATCTCACCATTTTTATGAACTGGGCAGCATGTACAAAACATATTCAATTCTTGTTGAGGAATTGAAACTACAGAATTTCCATCTTCTGAAAAAATGAAAATTAGGTATTAACAGAAATAATTGACCATAGACTTGTACATGAATTTCATCTATGGGTAATGTATTTGAACTTACTTATCATGCTGGGATCTGCACATTTGGTGTTTCTCGTAGGTGCTGTGACTGACTCTACAGATATATTATCATTTTTCGGAGGTGTCGGAACATCAGAGTTACTACTTTCATCAGATGATGATGAAATTTTTTTCTTACTTCTTGATTTTCTGGTTTCTCTGGATTCTTCTTCTTCTTCATTTATATCACTGGTATTTATAGCTACTCTTGATTTATAAGAAGCTTCTTTATATGTATCTATTATAATATATTCACTTACAAATCAAATAGAAATATGCAAGTGAATATACTTACTATAGGTAGCATTTCGGAATATTCGTATTTCAAACGATTCCCAGCACGTGTCTGGATGCTCGTGGTTCTTAATGGCCTTATTTACTTTGTCAGCAGTAAAGGACGGCCAATAGCACATATTGCCTACAATCCATGTAGTGGGGACAGCCTCCACACTATTCTCCTTCAGAAAGTGCACAATTGTCCATGTTTGCTCCATGCTAGAAAAAAATTGCATAGGCAGTATCACAGTAAATAAACACTTGAAAGTAGGATTTCAAAAATCAATTTACAAGTAGGATTTCAAAAATCAATTTACTGTAAGGCATTGAATATAACAGACATTGACATCATTGGAAAAATATACTAAAAGACTAATGGGTGTCCCGAAATTAGCCTGTCAAACTTCACCTGCAGCTTCTACGACCAAAAGTAGGAAGGAAAGATTCAATGTGTGAAGAGATGTCTCCTAAGGGAGCTACGGCCACCTGGAGATGATATTTCTTGAATGCAAGATGCATTTCGGTACAAAAACTCAACTTTCCATTCCCAATGCATTGAAAATGAAAGCATCCCAAAATTTCATTCTTGAGTGTACAATACAGGGTGGGACTACATCAAATGTTGCTCAAACTTTTTTATATGCATATTTTTCGACAATTTAATCTCGGATTATGGAAATCCACACCGTTTGACAGAAAAAAGGTGCTCCTGTTCCATATTGATCAGATGTATCATTTTCGAGTGAAATCGATTTTAAAATATTGTTACACTCACATCTTATGCATAATGTTGCCAATATCCAAATCATAGTGGCTATAAACAAATCAACAACTTTATTTTCACCAAACAATCTCATTTCTAGAAGTGCATTGAATAGGAAAATGCTGCTAAATGGTGATGATGATGAATAAAATATGCATACAAAAAAGTTTGAGCAATATCTATTTAATGTAGTCTTACCCTGTAATATACAGTCCTAAATGACATTTCGAAATGATTATATTCCCACTGCATTGGGCATTGAAAGTTCAGTTCTTGTACTGAATTGCATCATTTTATCACATATCGTTTCGGAAATATTCAAGAAATATCATCTTCAGGAGCACCCATTCAGGGGGCCGTATCTCCCGTAGGAGACATTTTTCGACCCATGTTCATTGAAACTTCTCTTCTTATTTCTTGTCGTAGAAGCCGCTGGTGAAGTTTGGCAGGCTAATTTTGGGACACCCTGTATAATTGTCGTTAAGTATGCTTACATTTCGAAAATAAAAGGAAAACAACAATTTCCAAAGCATTTGAAATGAGAAAAGTAATACAAGGCAATTTATCAACATAGTGAAAAAACTCAAGAAATATTTATTGGCTCAGAATGAGTGATAAAAGTTTATAAACCAAGCAAATCCGGACCTACGTTCATTGACACTTTCTTCTCATTGTAACACAAGTAATATCATGCTGAAACACCTATCCTATAACTATTAGATGAACAAGGTGAACATTGTGTAAATGAAACAGAAAATAATATGAATTCCATATTAGGTTGTGAAAGTAAAACAAAATAAAAAATGTAATTATATCAGGTAAACAATTATTTTGATTAATAAAAAGGCTGCATTTTCACATTTAGTCATATTTTTCATATTCATAATCATAAAAAAAATCGAATATTAACTCAAATGCAACAATGGGAAAACGACATATTTATTTTTATAATCTAGTTTCACTAGTTTACAGGTTTTTAATTCTATTGGGAAGTACTGGAGAGGAGCCAAATTGGATACTAAAAAGATTCCTAAATCTGAAGATTCACAAGGAGATGTATAAAAATTTTCAATTTGCAAAAATTTCTGCCCTATTATAAACACCTTATTGTCATGAGATAAAACATTTTTAATTATAACAATATCATTTTCATTTATCTTACAACAATTATTTGGTTCAGTGGTACCCAAAGAAAAATTTTCGAATTTAATTAATTTGAACTGTTTTTCATATTGATTGTTGAGTAGAGGGCCATCACAATGTTCATTACAGAGTATAGGAAATATTTCAACATTTTGATCAACTTGACTAGTACTTTGGCTGGAAGAATGTGCATAATTTAATTCATCGATTCTAAAAACAATTTGCTGCAAGGGCTTATCTCCTTTCCTAATGTATTTTTTGAAAGTTTGCATGTAATTTTCGAAGGGAAATGCGCTGAAATCATCAAGTGAACCAAATCTTCTGACATCATCACAAATATGTAACAAATTATGTACATTATGAGAGACATTATCCTTTCCATAAATGATTATGAAAGTATCAACGAAATATTTCAGTAGAATTCCTGCATAGTCAATGTTGTGATTCAAAGCCTTTCCTGCCAAAATGAACATTGATATGTGTAGACTCAAAAAATGTTTGTATTTACTTTTACTCAAGACATGTTTGAGTACTACTGGGCCTGTATAAAATAAAAATTGTCGAAATTCCGTGGCTTTCCACCTTTTAGCTTCATTAAGAGATCGTGGTTTCCGATTAAACTCTCTAGGTATATTTGATACTTGCTCTAGTAAATTCTGTGAAATATTACTTATTTCCAAAGATGACAATTTATGAGATGGTCTACCCCCTATCCATAAGTTTACTATCAATTTTTTGACCACCCCCAGGCAAACAAGGTGCATATAATCTAGAGGAAAGTTATTAATCATATCGATATTTGGCAATGTCTCTAAAATTGATGTACCAGTATGATGATTTTCATTTTGTTTCTGTCGAAAACTTTCATCAGTTCTCAATACTGCATTTCTATAATTTGGGAAACAGATACGATTATTAAAATAAATACCTTCAATTGAACATTTTGAACATGACTGGTAACCACTATGTCCCCTAGAATATTTAATATATGATTTCGCAGGCACATCACAAATAAATCCCCTAATTTTGATAATGTATTGAATTCCTGAGAACATGAAACCATTATTTAAAATGATAGAGGCATCATCCACAAAATATCTTAAAAAATCATTAGCATCTGCAGGCTTTTCTGTACCATGATATATACCTATAGCAGAAACATTATTTTTATTCTTGTATAAATTACACAGAATTGGGTATAATTGACTTCCAGAGCTTTTACTCAATGGCAGACCATCAATGTTAATATTTACTTCTATAATATTTGATTCGAAAACTATTCCTTCAGAAACCTGCAACAATGTTTTCAAACAATTTTCAAAACCAAAATGATGATACTGCCCAGGTTCTACTCTCAAAAGCTTATTCATTCTAGGGGTTTTCAATAACGTTCGAGCATCTATTGGTAGGAATGTATTCATTGGTTTTAGAATATGTAATAAATCAGAGATTGCAGAATGGGTGATATTATGATGCAAAGCCCAATTTGCAAGTTGAATTTTCAGATCATTTTCTGAATGAAGTTCAGTTTGCCCTTGTATTGGCTTCTGTATATTATCTGCCTGATGGGCATTTGTTGAGTTTTCTACATCAAATTGATCTAAACTATCATTATCACTCAACAAGAAATTGACTTCATGTTCAAACTCATTGTCAATACCAATAATGGTGTGATCGGTGTCCAATTCAGTAAAAGAAATATGTTCATTTTCACTACAGTCACTATCAGAATCAGAACATCTAAGATTAGAATCATCTCTGGCATTTGAGCAAGATGGTGTGGAAATAGCTGATGTGGCTTCTGATAGACACTTGCTTCTAATGCTTCTAATCAATCGCTTGTTATGTTTATCAATGATTTTGAATTTTCTCTTAGTATTATTCATGATACGAATATGGAAAACATGTACTTACTTTATATATTCTGTTGTCACCAAACTCACACAATTAATGCACACAACAACAAGACAACAAACAGAAATAGCATCGATAACGATAATGGCGTCACCCTCTCTGTGGCTTGGCTGTTCGCTGTGTGCCGTGTGCCCGTAGTCGCATAGTCGTAGTACTCGTAGATGTACTCGTAGTAGTCGTAGTCTCGTAGTGCCGTTCCCGTTTCGTCTTGTCACAGCCGTCTTCGTTAAGTCGTGTAGTTTCTTTCATGGCCGTATGGCGCCACTGACAGTAAAGTGGTCGAACCGCGCGCAGTTTTAAAATAATGATCTCTACACATTGGTGCAATTTGACGTTTTCAAAATTAGTAACGCATAATACATAAATATAATTATATACATATATTATAGGTATTGTCTCTATGATAACCAGTGGGAAATATTATCTGGTCTCATCGTAGAACATTGAGATAAGTATATATATATACTTCAGGAGTATAAAATATATCATATCTTTTATTGAAAAGTGATTTGATTTGAGATACCTACCTATCGATATATTTATGCTAAATGGAATTCAAAACACAAAGCAAAAACACTGGATAAGTAATGGGGATATCCAATGGATGTACAAATTCAGATGTTTATTGCCTATCTACAAAATGGATGTCCAATGGATATATAAAATCGGTTGTCTCTTGTTACTAGAAATTGATGTCCTATGGATGTACCTATATCCAGATGTTCATTGTTCATACACCAAATGTATGTCCAATGGATATATAAAATAAGTTGTCCCTTGAACATCTACAAATGATGTCCTATGGATGTACATATCCAGATGTTCATTGTTCATTCACAAAATGGATGTCCAATGGATATATAAAATCGGATGTCCTTTGTACAATCTAGTAATATATGTCCAATTGATGAACATATCCAGATGTTCATTGTTCATTCACAAACTGGATGTCCAATGGATGTGCAAAATCAGATATCCCTTGTACATCTAGAAATGGATGTCCATTGGAAGTACATATCCAGATGTTCATTGTTCATTCACAAAATAGATGTCCATTTGATATATAAAATCGGATGTCCCTTGTACAATCTAGTCATGGATGTCCAATGGATGAAGATATCCAGATGTCCATTGTTCATTCACAAAATGGGTGTCCAATGGATGTACAGAATCAGATGTTCATTGTTCATCTACAAAATTGAAGCACAATGGATGTCTTTAATCATCCTGCTGTCTGATGGACACAAAATGGACATTCATTGGATGTACAAAACTGATTGTCCCTTGTATATCTGGAGAATGGATGTCCAATGGATGTCCTTGTACTTTCTGCTCTCTGATGGACACAAAATGGACATTCAATGGATCTTCAAATCCAGATCTCCATTGTACATCTACAAAATGGATGTCCAATGAATGTCCATGGACATCCGGGTCCTTGCTGGACACAAAATGGACATCCAATGGATACTCATGTGTTGTCTGGGTACTAAATCATGTAAAATGAACGTTTTCATTTTCATTTATCACAATTTTTTGATTTTTCAGTATTTTCACTTGAATATCCTACTCTTTCTTCATAGTGATGAAGTCATTACTTTTTGAGATATTTCAAGTTACCAAACATGGATATGCACAATAATTTTGATAGGTACTAAAAATCACCTTTGTTTCATATCATTGGATTGCAATCATTAGGCAATCCATATTAACAAAAAAATCATGATAACATGCTTTCTTATTTTTGAATATAATAAATAATAACCAAACACCTTATAATAAACAGGAGACACACTTCATCTAGGTGATTTGGATTGAAATCTTCAAATTTCGAGCTGGGAATGTAATAGTTGAAATATTTTCAATTATTAATGAAATATCCTGTATATAGAGAACTAGAAAGATCCTGAAAATTGGTAGGGACGTTGAAGGAAACATGGAGCATCCAACTAAAATATTTTCGTTATTGTGAAGCTTCCGGGTGTCTCCGGATGTGACGCCGGCGTCTTCGTTATTTTTAATCAGCATATATATATATAACAACATTTTTGGATTCCTCTCTTGATTTCGATCCAAATTCATTGATCATACCCTCTATATATAAAATTAACGTCTTTGAGTTTTTCTACAGAATGTGACAGATTTACAGCTCATCAAACATACCTACATCATTTTCATGTGAATCATCAGTCCAATGACTGGACTGAGTGATGAAGGTTGAACGGATCATTATTCACTATGATTACAAACACTGAATAAGGATGCCCAAAAAAGTGAAACATTGAAAATCTTCATTTTTTTAAATGGAAACCGCATTTTTCCTTATGAAATGGAGCTGTAGTTCTAAATGATTTCCCTATACTCAAAGCCTATAATTTCAGAGATCTTCCATAAATAATATATACTATATTCTGTATAACTGCCTGATTTTTTTTTGTTTCTAGTAGGCTACTACTAAAGAAAACTTTTGAAAGGTAGTTATGCAGCATTAATTATTATTCATGAAATATCTCTGAAATTAATGGTTTTGAGCTCGTTTTTGGGTAAAGGGAAGTTAATTAGAGCTAGGGCTTACTTGTATAATAGAATTGAATCATGTGGAGAAAAAAATTGAGTTTCCATTTGAAAAAATTGGGATTTTCAATATTTCACATTTACTTTCTGGGCCCACTTTTCTATGTACCCTGTGATTTATTCAGTGGATGTGATTATGGTGAGTGATCCGTTCAACTTGAGTTCAACTTTTTTTTCATGATTCAATCACTGCATATCACTAATCTCAATCACTATAAAAAATCTAATATCTCAAAAACGGTTCATTATAGGTATCCAGTATAATGCCAGTGAAAAAAACCATGATGACATCACCTCCATAGAAAACGGAAGCTTCACAATAACAAAAATATTTCAGTTGTTTTCTCCTACAATGTCTCTACCAATTTTCAGGATAATAATGCTATTTTTAGTTGCCGATATATAGAGATCACGTTATCTCATGGAATTATCCTGTTCAAGTACCTACTTCAGTAATTCCTTATTATTTTCAAGGGACATAGATATTCACATTATATTATGCTTATGAGTAGATGGTAGATAATAAAAAAAAAAATATAGAAATGTTGTTTGATTTTGTGATAATTATTCCTTATTTTTTTCCAGCCTATGTTATGGTTTTAGCCATCCACCATCCACTTCCCGAATGCCCTCCTCTCCTGAAAATATGAACCATATTAGCAATACCAGTTTTTCCCCATCACTCCAATCAATTCCTGAACCAATACCCAAAGCTTGTTCATTTTTTAATATAGTTGCTGGAAGTGATTTATATTCCCTCAAACTCCCTGCTGCATGGGGTGTTCATGTATCTGAGCACGCCATTGTTTTTTCAAAAATGAGCTTTGGTGAACATGACCATGTGTCTATCGAACGCATGTTACTCATCAAACAAAACATAATAAAAGCACAAGTTAAAAATAAGTGGCTGAATATGAGTGGTTATCCAATAGAAACACTTGATGACTTAGTGAAGTTTATTGAGAGGATGGATAACACCAGAATTTGCCAGGGGGGCAGCAAATCATGCGACGTGATTGTTGATCAAAGAAAAAACATTTGTAAGCAGTGCAGAGGCTATAATTTCTTTTTGAAACAACAATCAAAAAAGAAAATCCTAAGGAAAACTAAAAATATGAGCAAAGCCAAACATGTTTCATATATGAAACAGCAGAAGAGACATTATAAAAATGTTATTATGAACTTGAAGACACAAAAAAATGATGAGAATAAATTAGAATTGTTTATTAAAAATATTCCACCTGTACAGAGGGAAATGATAAATGCATGTTGTAAAGCTGCCAAAACAACAGGTCCCGGTAACAGGTATACCTTAGAATGGATTTATGAGTGCATTCTCATGAAAATAAAGAGTCCAAAACTCTATTTTCATATGAGAGATAACAAAATAATGGCCCTCCCATCACCCAGTACAATATCAAAGTAAGTTGATTTCACAAAATGAGGTATGTTATTTTTTTATTACATATGTTCCAACAATTGAGTCCAGCAATTTCAAAATTCTAATATAGGTGAGTAATAATAATATTATGTAGCAAATATGAATAACTGGGAAACCTAAATCTGATTTTTTCTCGTGAACGTCAGTATTTTCAGATACTTTTTATTAACAATAGTTCAAATCACAAGTAAGGTTTTTGAAGAGCTACTGGGCTTTCAAGTACATACATAGGGCTATATGTCGTAGTTCTTCATCTAATTTGAACCATGCCTTTCTTTGGCTACTTTGGTTTAACAATGATCCATTGAAAACGTAGTGGAATCGATGAATGGTTGTTCACACAAACAGAAAAAATTTATGCCATGAAATTCTTCATGATTGTGAACCCCACTCCGTAAACGTTATTGCAGTAGAATCAGTAGATAAATGCTAATCACATTTTGGCAATAAAGAAAAATATGGTCCAAACTGGAATAATTTCTGACACACACCTGGATATTGTGAAAAATCTATATGCCCTACAAGAGCACTTCAACGCCCAGCAGATCCTGAACAAAGCATATTTTCAGGTATATCATATGTTCAATATGTTTTTCAAAGTAGCACCCATTCCATTTTTACCGAAAAAAGTTGAAATAATTTATACCAATAATAATTATTCTTATCTGACCCTCCAATGTGATAATGACAATTATGTAGGTACATAAGAAACATAGATAGCAGTTTTGGATTCAAGCAGGAAGTGTTTGATATGATAAAGGAAAAAACACAACATCTTAGTGAATGGCAGAGGCATGGTTGCCTTCTCATTGATGAATGCAAGATTACTGCAACTAAAAAGTTTGATAAAAACAAAATGGAATTCATCGGGTTTGTGGATCTTGGAAAGTATACACCAGTGGAAATGAATAATACTTTAGGAGACCATGCATTGGTGATAATGTTCCAACCATTTGCGGGGCACGGCCTACAAGCTCTAGCTTGTTTTCTAACCAGAGGCAACATTAATGGAAATCTCCAAGCTAAAATAATCCTGGAATGCATCATTCTGTGTGAAAATGCTGGGTTACTCATTGATGTTGTCACGAGTGATGGGGCAACATGGAACAGAACCATGTGGAAACAGCTCGGAGTTGAAAATGTTCTGGAGCCCTGGTGTGATCATCCTGTAGATTCAAAGAGGAAACTGAGAA